CAGAATTCATTCCTCTCGCAATAAATAACTCAGCTTTAGAAATAGTATCCTTCATTTGGTTGTTTTGTATGTTTTTATTTTTATTTATTTAAGATATCCAAGTCAAAATGACAATTTAGTGAGCTGCATAATACAGCGATATCTTTGTAATTATATCCTATACATCAATATTAATCAAATCTTAAGTTACAACAATCACTAATTCAATTTAAATACCAATTTAAGCGTATAATTAGTGCCTGTAAAGTACCTCGATGGTGCACTTCTGGGTTCGAGTCCCGAGTGGCGCCAAGTTAAGTTATTGTGAACTCCTGTTAAAAAAGTCCCAGTAACAGCTGCTAATTACTATTTATGTAAATTCGCGTAAATTTTTTACGGGTTAAAATTTAATGCCAATTAACCCGTAACGACAAGAGATTCTCAGGAGATATTTTGAGAGAAAATTTTTACCGTTAGAAAAAATTGCAAGTAGCCATCATGTCCAAATATTACGACAAAACTCGGTTCGAATACCGTGAGAAAAAAAGGTTCTGTAAGATTGTAAATGGAAGATAATCTCCATGGAATATAAATACATATATTTTATTAATAATAATACTTTAATTTTTTTTTAATATCTGTCATTGCATTAAAAGTTACCTAAAAGTTAAGACACTAGGAGTGCAGCTAGAGTATATTTGGTCACGAACTAACTATAGTTTGCTATAATTTTATATTTAACTTTGTAATACTAGGTATAATTATAATTAATTAAATGTGCTTGAAAAGAATTTTTACAGAAAAATGGACTACTGCCTTACTAAATAACTTTATTCAGTTTAAAGAGAATAAAAAAGTACAAGGTGGCTCAACAGGCGGCATTGTTAAAAACATTTTTGCATATAAATAACTTTTACAAACTGAATTTTGTCGTCTATATTCTAGTGCCCTGTACAACTTTCGTGCTTTATTTTTTAATAGCAGCTGTAATTTACGGAGTTGCAATTATCAAAGGGTCTTTAATATCAAAATTGCTTTTGAGTTTTTTATTTACTTCTTTCTTCTTTTACGTTGATACGATTATAGGCGATTTTTGGAGCATAAAATATAATAATTATGTATAATGTATATCCATACTTCTACTACCTCGCTCGTTGCTCTAGAGTCTAGTGACTAGCATGTATAGATGCAGATTCGTGAGTCCTGGTTTGAAGCCCGGGTCACATCAAGTATTTTTCTTCCACGATATTGTCATAGTTGGTCAAATTATAAGGTTTGTCTTTACAGTTTTAAATAACTTAATTTTAATCTTAATTAATAACGTAATGTAAAAAGCCCCCACACCACCTGTATGTATACAGGTAGTATGCGAAAATGCATTTTCCAATATTAAGAAAAAAAGTATAAAAAGCCAAGAAAGAAATAATATTTATTGTTTTATTTTATCTAATGTTATATAACACTAGCGGCTCACACGCGCTTCGCTGGAGTTCGTCCCTAGGTAACGTTTTAACGGTTAATTCATGGTACACTCTATTCCCCCCCAACGTGCGTTCACCTTGTCGTGGTGGGGGGCGGGAGGGGGGGGTCTCAGTAGTGCCCGGCAATCCAGCCGGGCGCGAAGCCAAGAAACGCACAGGGAGGTGAACCACTTCGGTGGACGGGGGAAGGTGGCCCTCTTAGGTGGGCGGTGTACCATGCGGGTTGCTCCTGGTACTTCTCTGATAGCAGAGTGGACCTTGGAGCAACCCCATGGTTGTGATAGTCTGCTTCGGCAGACCTGCCATCGGGGCGTCGTAGTTAAATGCGTAAGCGATCCTGCGACGCCCCATTAAGACGGGGGAAGGTTTTGTTGGGTTTTAGTGGGTAGTACTGGCTTTGCCGGTGAATCCCACACCTCGTGCGTAAATGCATTTCCCAACGTTAAAAAAAAATGGTACACTCTATTGCATCATAAATAAATAAATAAATATGTTGGGACGTTAACACACACCATCATCTGGATCCATGGTAAGGTACGAGGCTTGTGTTTTGGATACCAGATAGATAAGACACTACACATATATAACTTTAAATACATACATATCATACATATAAACACCCATGACTGGAGTACACACATTCGTTTTTATCACATAAATGAATGTCTCTAGCGGGGCTCGAACCCGCGACCCGCAGCAAGCAGGATCACTACAAACTGAGCTAAGCGTGTCGTCATAGTTCCACAAAGCAATAATGCAAAGATTTTGTAAGTGTATTTACCCTATCTATGTAGCCTTTTTGTTTTTGTTCTCTCCTATTCGTATGTACTCAACTCTAATTCTCCGCGAACATGTACAAATATGGAAGTTGAAAAACAAGAGCTGTGATGAAAAACATGAATCGTATATTAAAATGTACATTGCATGTGTATAAAAAAATAAATGTTAAAAGCTCAGTTAAAATCAACTTTTCAATTTATAAAATCGGCTTAGATACATAATTGTTTTTTATCATTGCAAAGCAAAATTCTAAATAATATTATTAATGCTTTTGTTAAAAATATTATATGATGTTTTTAGTAGTTTTGTCAGTAGTTAATTACGAGTATGTATTATATATTTAAAAAAATGGTAATTTTAATTCCATACAAAGAAAAAATAATTTAATTACTTTAACAATACAAATTATTAAAAAAACTAGCGGACGATAGTAAACTGTAAAAATTATAAGGTTTTTTTTTAAATAAAAAGTTAGAGTGATAAGATTAGACAAATGTGAGGAAGGTTATTTTTACATATGTGTTTTTAAACCATAAGTAAACAGCATGATTTTGAATCAAATACGTTATGCATGACTTAATGTAAATATTATTAGTCTAGCACATGACTGGAGTCTAATATACAGATATTAGCTGGTTTGTACAACCGATAACAATGATGTGCGTTATCTAAGATGCCAGTAATATTTATTTATATATAAAATATTTGATTTGTGATAGCCAAATATGTAGAAACCTAATCCAAATGCAGGTGCTGTTTGCTTAGTAACTATTTAAGAAATGTTTATTATATTTAACACATACATACATATATTTTTAGGCTGTTGCTATTCGTACATTAGTAGGACGAAGAATAAAGGATAATATTGGTATTGGTAAAAAATATATTATTCGTCCGAGTATTGTCGGTTTGTACCAATATTTACCACTTTTCACACTTTTCGCATTTTTGTTTTCTAATGTAAATTAAGTGATTTTTAAGTCCGGAAGTTTCTATATTATGTAAAAAAACAACTTTAACCTACCGAGCTGAGTCGAGCTACTTATTCTACTTACCTACTTATTCATTAATCTATTTGTCCTCCGTTATAATTTATATATTTTAAAAAGGACAAATAATATTTTTTTATTCGTCATATTAAAGGACGAAAAAATATTTTTTATTCATCCTATTAAAGGTCACTCTGGCATTTTTAATTTAATATTTATTTTATTTAATATTTATTTTTAGAATGATATATGACCAATGCAATAGAAATTTAATATTGTCTAAATAAAAAATAGAATACAAATAATGCTTAAATGTAGTAATAAACAAATAATAATATGCATACCATCTGTATACAAACCGGTGGTTATGTAGGACTTACCGACTAGAAAATCCAGTACTACCTACTAATATCCAACTAAACCTCCCCCGTCTTAAACGCCGCACGATCGCTTACGCGCTCAACTACGACGCCCCGACGACAGGTTTGCCGAAGCAGACCACACATTCAAGGAGTTGCTCCCACGGTCCACTCTGCTATCAGAGAAATACCAGGAGCAACCCGCATGGTACACCACCCACTGAAATGGGCCACTTCTCTGTGTGTTGACTTCGCACCCGCCTGGGTTGCAGGACGCTAATGAGCCCTACTACGACAAGGTGAACACATACGAGGGGATATAGATAAGATTATCATTTCTTAAGGTTCCCTACTACGTATGAAATAAGCATTAAGCAGCCCTAAGAAAGTCACGCGCGTGTCATTATTTGTTTTTATCATTATCACAATTATTATTCTTTGAAACTACTTGAAGAGATATGTTTACATTAGATATAATATACAAAGACTTAGGAGATCTTATCACGTATGTATGTACTTGGAGCGTAAATAAATAAGTTAGTCAATTTTGGGGACCAATTTAGAAAATATTAAAAAAAATTGCAAATACATCATATCGCATTTTAAATTCTTTGTAAAGGTTAATAGCTTTTAGTTATTTGTATAATATTTAAATTTATTTAAAAAAAAGACGTATATAGGAATTCAAATCAAACATTAAACTCTTTATGATATTTTCATCTTTTGTGTTTGTCAACTAAATTGATAGTCTAAAAATATAATCTCCCAAACCCACTGGTCTCTCATCATCAATCATTCCTAAAACGAGAATGCAACAGGACAAAAATATTTTATTGCACTTATGGATGCTTTTACAATATTTTTGTCGTTTTATAAGTGAAAGAATATAATATATACGAGAATTGCTCATTTAATATTATAAGATACTTTATTATGGGTAATTTTAAAAACGTCAATCTAATTTTAACGTGTTCAATTCATAGAAGAAAGTAGCTGAAAGCTATTGATATACTTTTAATCTTAAAATTAACCTTGGACGAAAAACACATTAAAAGTTGGGCTCCATAATAAATATATAATATAAGGGCAGCTAGTAGAAATTATGTATAGATGCTCAACAAGTAAAATGTGAGCCTACTCACTATCAACAATGAGGATGGAGACAAACAAAAGTTACGTTATTATGATACAAAACTAAACTAATCATGTTAAGATACGAATCTTTGTTTGCAAATATTAAAAACAAACTAGTACGAAGTCACAGACGATAAAACTGTTATAAATACAACGGTGACACCTACTTGTGATTAGTGCGCCGCGTATGCGCCTGCGCCTCTTTACTTATTTTTTTTAAACCTCCTAACTTTGCCGCAAAGTTTAACCGAAAAGTGTTCAAAAAAAACAAAAAAAACATGTCTCCCGGTGTTATACAAAATTCCGAAACAGTTATCAATAATACTCTAGAAGTTATCACTAATAACGGCGATGTCTTACCTGGCTTAAGTAATGAAATTAAAACATGCCCTATCGACCATCTTGTTTTGGCTGAAGTCAGCAACGGTCAAAATGGCGTGAATAGCAAAAATGATGACAACGCTGAAGTCAAAATTCTTATACAAAAACTTGATAGAAAACAACCACGTAAAGTAACAAGACCAAAAGTGTTAAAAAATTACGAATCACGGGAGTATTTGTATGATAGGCTCTATGATACTACGTGTCCAAGGGTGGTAAGTGCCTTTATTTTTTCTAATCATATATACCAGATAATTATATCAAAAGTAGAAGAGCAAAGGATATAAAATTGTTGAAAATATTTAAAAACAATTCAAATTCAGTGATTACTAACAATCAATGAGTCCATGTAAACAGTATAGCATGTACAGTAATTTGTCAAAGTAATATCTTGCACGTCTTGCACGTTGCAACTTTGTTTACTTATTAAGCGGTTTAGATAAATTAAAATATATTTTTTTATTTCTTTCAATATAATTATTTAAAATTAAAATTATTTATTCATCATTTAGGTCAAAAATATATATATATAGATAGTCAATGAGGGGACTTAATATTCCTTATTTAAGCAAAGGTTTGCTTAAATAAGAAGAAACTACCCCTTGTTAAAAAGTACTTAGGCACAATGGTTAAAGGCACTGTTTATTAAAATTTGTTTAGGATATCATAGGATTGCCTATGTATATTGACGGCGAGTCAATTGATGATATTTTTAAGAGATTTAATTTAATCGAATTTGAAAGAGATGTCAGCCAATAATAAGCTACAAATACATTAATATAAAATGGTAAGTTCTTAAACTTTAAAAAAGCCCCACACCTACTCGCCAAGTATGTCATAGTTTATAAAATAAAAGGTTCGTAAAATATTTAATTAACATTTTCATACTTAATACTTAGTTTTCTATTATTTTATAAATTACCAATCTTACACAATGCGACCTGGCTAATCTACTCGACGTCCATTTACTATAAACCTCAAATACATAGGAATTTTGATCTCATTTCCAATACTATTTCATCGTTATAACAAATATTACTTAGGCACAGTCTATATAATTTATTGGTATTTTACTATATTAAAATAAATTTACATTTAAAATTGTAAGTGCTGTAATAAATAATACAATTTATTTATAATACAATAGCAATCTTAAATAATTTATCTTTAAATTATATACGCCAGAAATTTTGTACATATGTAAAGAAAAGTAAGGTTGTAGAATTACAAGATTTTCATATTATTTAGTATTATGAGTTACGATATTTTTCATATTCGCTGTTATATTTTTAAGCTTCACAGTCATTGTAAGTAATATCGTAGTAAGTACGATGGTACCCAATTCGAAGTAATACTTGGCAGGTGAAAGTTTCCATTGCAGTATTGCAGTAGGTGTGTATGATTTCACCATAACCAAATAAGATCTTAATACTTAAAGCTCTTTAACCTTTAAAAACCCGTGAGACTATAAGAAAAGCCTAGCTGGAAAAACTATGTTCTTTTCCAAAAGCAGTTACAAAGTAGGTAAAAATAACTAAACTCATAATTTTTACTCAGTACAAGGTCATATAGATTAGTGATATATAGATTTATTGCAACACTATTATCGACTTATAAGTAAATAAATTTAATTTGTTTTAACGATTGCAAGTGTTCAACTAGATTGTGCCTAAGAGTTCAAATATACTCGTACATTACCATAGATATGCGATAAGAAACGTTGTTGCCAATATACAAAGAACTACGACGCCGACAGTCTTACCACTGGTAACTTTATTAAATAATAACAAACTAATCGCTTTAAAGGGATAAACTACACTTATAAATAATTCTCTGAAAAGACGCGATATCAATAAAGCTTGTATAAAAAATAAATATTTTACTCAAAAATTATTTATTAAGTTATTAAATTAAAAAATAATAATAATATACAAATATATTGTGGACAGTGGTAGTCCAGTGGTAACGCGCTTGCTTAGGAAACCAAGTGAAGTGGGTTCAAATCCCGGGTTTCGCACCTCTGATATTTTCACGTGCGAATCATTTTCAACGTGATTACCACTTGTCTTTCGGTAAAGGAAAACATCGTGAGGAAGCATGCGTGTCTTAGAGAATCTAGCTAGTTTTTGAAAGGCGTGTGAAGTCCGCCAACCCATAATTGGCGGTAGACTATAGTCCGATCCCCCTCGCATTGAAGAAAAGCCCGTGTCCACCAGTAGGACGTTAAAAAAGAGCAATGCAAATATAAGTTTAAAATTGAATAAAACATAAAAAAAATTTTTTCTGTCTCTAATAAAACCTTATTCTTTTAGAGAAGTACAGAATAATAACATAGAAGTGAAAATTATGTTTTGAACATTTTAAGGCTATTATAAAATACTAGCCTCTACTTTTTACAAAGTTTGATCTATGAGCATTTTTTGAGCTGCCAGTCATTGAATATTCACCCGGGCTTAGTAAACTAAAAAAAAAATTGAATAAGGGCTATGTATTATTATTCATAGACAATAATAACAAAACATAAAAGTAACAATAACTAGTGATTCTCCCTCGCTTTGCTCGATTTCGTCGCTAGGTACGTTTTAACGGTTTGTAAGGAATAGATAGAATATATAGGTATATAGGGTAAAACTCGGATAGTCGCCTCAGTTGGATACATGCCCCAGTTTTCAATACGCTATATTAAAGATGTCCCTGATGTTAGCGCTCTTCTGTAATTTGAAGGGCCTCTTCCACAGACCTTAGGACGATGCCAGTAGTGGGACTAGGTAAACGTGTTTTGTCCGTGTGAGCGAAAATCTTCCGCGGCAGGACGTTAACGAGCGTTGAACTTATATTCGTGTGTATTTACTATTGAAAAATTTTTTTTACAGTTGTCGATTCAGTCAACTTTTTGCTTCTACGCGTGTACTGAAGCTTAAGTTACACTACCTATTTCCTTAAACTATCGAATAACATTTATTTATTTTTCAAAATATAAGGGCAAGTATCCGTACCAAAAAGGATAGTCGCGTCGCCACACATAATTGTGCGGATAGTCACCCTAAGGACAATTAGTGTTGTAGGTACGCGAAATGCCTCGCAAATATGGGTGAGAGCTTGTCTAAAAGGGCTAAACAATCTGCAGAAGTTTTAAATGTCAACGAAAAAATTGTCCAAAAACAGGATAAAGAAGAAGAAACAAATATTACAAAAAGAACTTGAATGGAGACAACGAAATAAAAAGATTTTAAGACAGTAAAAAATAAATCAGATGATAGCGAGATGATAATTATGAAGAAAAGAGGTTGAAACGAAAGTAAAGAATCAAAAAATATGATGATTTCTCTCGCAGTGAAACAGAATTTGAAAACATAGATTTTATTAAATTGAGCGGAGAAAGAGCTTTAAGGATGACAAATAACAAACTTATAGTTCCGAGAGTGAAAATGAAAAAACATTATAAATACAAAAATAGCCAAAGAAAAAGCTACTAAAGGAGTACAAAAAACGAAGTAAGAAACTAAAGATGATAAAAGAGATTGAAAAGACAGTAAAATTTATTAACATTAATACAAAAGTAGGAAAAGCGAATGATAAATTTTCAGTTGATGATTATTGTAAATGTTTTGAAAATTACAATACTAAATCCAAATTATACTGGATTGTATTTCCAGGAAACTTGTTCATCATGCAAAGAATATTGTGTGAGATGTGGAAAATTAAAAGTTATGACTTCGTAATTGATGATGATTTTTAAACTGTTTTTGGTGATATACCTATAATAACCTACCTACTAATTTTAATATTTGTGTCAAAGTTGAATGCCATATTGTATTTATCTTTAAAGTTAATTATTATTTATAAAGTACATTTTGGATTTATTTGTATTTTAAAGTTGTATTGATTTCGATTAGTAAATATGTACCTACTACTTAATTGATGTTAATAATTAATAATGTTTGATTAAATTTACATAAATTTGTTTTAATCCAAAAAAAATTTGCAACAATTTCATGATGAGTCTTCTATCCCCGCATGAGGCAAGTATTCCCCAAAGCATTTTTAACATAAGGCAACTATCCGCCACAGAGGGCAACTATCCCCTTTTGTAGAGGTCAAATAAAACAGGATTTACTGAAAAACAATATTGATTGTGTTTAAAAAAATATGTCACAATGAAAAATTAAAGACCAATATTTTATTATATACGGGGCATATTGTCAGTAGATAATTATTTTTTATGTAATAGGAGATTTTCAAAAAGTGGGGCAACTATCCGGCTTTTACCCTATATATGTATAAATTCCTTACAAATTATGTCAAATTCCTATCATTAGTAAGGAAAGTCACAGATAGATAGATTATTGATTAGTTTTGTTAACATACCAATTGAATCTTAAATTATGTATTTCATTCATATTCATTTTTATCGTGTAGGTACAATAATTACTTATGCCATTGCAATAAAATTAGCATCAGTTATTATAGGCTGGCACCGATAAAGCCACTGTTTTACCAAAAGCCCGGAAAACCCTAAACGATTCAACTTTTATTATTATCTTATACTTCAAGGTTAACCAAATAGTTTTTGTGTCAATAAATCTATCTTGTTTGAAAAAAAAATATTTTTCCACCAAAACTTTATTAGTACCAACTTTAAAATTGTCTGTTTTTTATTTACAGCCCACATTATGCAACGAGAGGGCCTGCCTGGGGAGTTTGATGGCCATACCTGGCCGCGGGGATGTACCGAGAAGTCCTGAGGAAGTCCTTAATGATGCAAAAGATTTCCTTGGTCAATACTTTGCTTCAATACGAAGGTTCGTCTACAATTTATTATGTAAAATGAAATGATACTTTGTTCAATTATTACTTATAATTCTTATTATATACAAGCATATTATAGCCAATTTTTTGTTAAAAAGGCAGGTTGAATTAAAAAAAAAATGAATCTACAATTATATATTATTTTCATATATTAAATTATTATAATCTGCAATTTGTTAACTTTTCAATTCACAAAAAATACGAATTTAACCAAAAATATGAAATCTGTAAAGATAAACATTAGATCAACAGATGTCCGGAACTTCATGATCATTTTCAGCTGCATTACATATTTTATACGTGGGAAAACGTCGCTTATTTGTATTTTAATAAATATTAAACAAGTTATAAGAATCATAGATGAAATAGTTGAATTTAGTCTTTATGTTTCGGCTAATCTTTAACAAATATGATTTAAATAGAAATTTCAAAAGAAAAGAGAACTCTTCCAAAGTATGAAATGTTTTTTTGAATAAAATAAATTAGAGCTATGATCCCAGTAACATAATATAGTTTATGATATTTTGACTTGTGAGTGCATATAGAGAATCTGCTTTTCACATACGTCACCACTACGTGGACATCCATAAATTTTTAGTTGCAGGGGAATATATATTTTTTGATAAAAGCTGTCAGTGTGAAAGCTTATACTTTATTTTATTTTGGCAATTTTGAATGATATCAATAAATAGTGACCTGAAATCAAATAATTGCATTGATAGTAATGTGACAAATTCTAGTATTCCCGTAATTTAACAATGTATTATTTAGAAACATGTCCAATTTTAATATATATGTATGTAATTATTCACTTTTAGAGCTAATACTGTAGCCCACGAAGCTCGTTGGAAGGTTGTGCAAGAAGAAGTAGTGAAAACTGGGACATACCAACTAACAACTACCGAGCTCGTGTTTGGCGCTAAGTTAGCTTGGAGGAACGCTAGCCGATGCATTGGCAGAATACAGTGGTCTAAACTGCAAGTAAGTTTCATTATTATATGACAAAAATATATTCATCATGCTTAAAATAAAAAAAAATGTGTGTGTGTGTGTACTTATGCACGCACGTAAGAAGTTCTACTTCTTTGGCGTAACAGAAAAAAAAACAGAAAAAAAACGCATCGTAAAAATGTTACTCTTATACCTATTTTTTTCCAAACGTGCCAAAAAAAGTATAACTTCAATAAATATGAACTATATAATGCAAAATACTATTTTTCTATCCCCAATATTTCATAATTTTTATAATTCCTACTGGTAATAATTTTTATTAATTTATCTACATAATGGTTACGGAATGTTTAATAATCTTGTTTGACTATTTACGTTTGACTTTAGTGGGAAATAATTTGTTTACTTAATTTTACCAACATTGTTTGCTGAGGCATAGTTTTGTTCGTTCAATTTTGATAACGCTATTACTGCAGTAAAATATTACTTGGTGAGGACTAAAAATATATTTCAAATACGAATACTATCAGTAAATAATAATTTAATATTTTAAACCCATTTTTATCTAATATATAAAAATCTCGTGTCTCACGGAGTTTGTGGTCGCACCCCCCCCTCCCCCTCCCTAACCTAGCTACCCAATTTTTAATCGTGATTTTAGTATTTTTGTATGAACAATATTATATATGAACAACTACAACATAAAGCCAAAGTGTTTTTTTTGTAAAATAAAGGCGGGCATAGCTGCGGGTTCTACTAGTATTTTTTTTTCAAATCTTAAGTTGAAAGTATAAGGTGAATTTAAAGAAAAAAGGCTTAAAAATATGCTTATAAAGTAATTTATTTCATTTTAAGAAAATTCCTTCGTAAAGTACGACTAAAAACAGGATCAATTAAGTCGATACTTGTTACACGTCCAACCGTCTCCGCGAACACGGTGGAACTAAATAAATTTGCTGACTGTAATGAGAAAACTCCCATTTCCCGCGCCGACACAAAAACACGGCCAATTAACTAGCAGTTTGTTTTTAGTTTATCTATCTTAGGGTTCGGATAAGAAAGGTTTGTGAAAACTTTAGATACTCCATCAATGTTACTAAAGTTCGCTACTTAATTTAAATACGCGTTCCATTTAACATTCCTTGTGTAATTTCAAGTCAAGAAATTGGCAAAGGCTAGATTAAAGAATTTGCAAATTGTGTCACCGTTTAACACAAATTGACTAAGGAGTAATGCCTGATTTCAACAACGTCACCTAAGTTTAAGGGATCCCCTAAGCATGGTTAGGGGGCTGTTAGGGGACAGTTTCTGTTACACCGACAGTTAGGGGTCACCTAAATATTAAAAGGTACTCGAAATATGGGCTTAAAGATGATCGTAAAACGAAATTTAATTTAGGGCCTAGTTTAGGGGACTTTTAAGCTAGGGATCCCATACGTAGGTGGTAGCTTATGGGTTGTTGGTGAAATCAGGCATAAGTCTTTTAATTCGATTCAGTAAGCAATTCAAGTAGTAAGACGGAAATCATCGAAGTCGTTTCAGTTCTGACAAACTGATCGTCTATACTGGTTGGTTGCTTTTCTCGGACATCCAGGCCCGCTCTGAAACTGATCCGTCCAGTTCTTTGGAGATATATGCATGGAAGACTTGCTTCTGTTGAATGGTAATAAAATACATACGTAACATACATATTTAACAGTCACCCTTGAGCTACTGTGATAACGAAAACACAAAGCAGCGATATATAATATGTAATTAGTCATGGTACACCGCGTCGTCTGTTTATCCCAACGTGTTACAATATTATGTCACCAGGTAGCAAACGACGTTACAGAGTGATTATTATAACAAACCAAAACAATTATTTCTAGTCTAGCCCTTATTTTCTAGGATATAGAGTTTAAAGTTCATAATCATGTCAATATTGAAGCGCAATTAGTTATACTCAATGAAGTACATCAGGACAACGACATATTGAGAAAATCCTACGCGCATATCGTAATGTTAAACAGAGTCATACCTAATTTGCTTGTTTTACGTGATTCGAATGCGTGGTCTCTCAAATTTTTCTAAAGGCATGTGTGTGGTGCATATGTAATATGTTTAACTTTATTTAAATTTTTATTAGCCGTGTAATTTTTACCTATTTGTTACCATTTGTGAACAGTTTTGAGGTGTTACGTAGTTACTATACACATTGGTGGACCTAAATTTGACTTTTATTATTACTATACTATAATAATTATACATGATTTATAAAAATATATAGGGACAACCGAATGGAGCAATTAACTGCTTAATATATCTTCAAAATTGAGAATATCATCAAGTACCGTGCGAATGACACATAATATAACTTTCTCACAAAAGAACCTCGAAATTGACAAAATAATGAAAGTAATAATTTTTGAAATAGCTTTCCTCTTCTTAATGATTCATCCATAGAAAGGTTTCTTTAGTCATTATTGCTGTAATAAAACAAAGTTTTTGTAACGGTCCATCTGTTTATTTGAAAACGCTCTTTAGCATCTTTGGAGTATTTTCCTCTACCTTCACATACTTTCTCGTATGGTGTACTCGTAGAGAACACTAGCCTCAGTCTTAGGTCATTATATCATAATATATTCATTTTTTTAATCTCTAAGAGCTAAATAAAGGATTTCCGTCCGTTGAAACAGTATACACCGTTCTTTCTTCCTTGGAAGGACTACTGCATCTTTGAATCGTAGTAGTACGTACAAAGTATGTAGCCAGTCCAAATAGACCCAAAGTATTTCTTAGGAAACAGTGAAAAAGGGCGTATTTTATGGCAATACATAACACAAATATTTAGCGTGTAAAAGAACCCTGATTACTTCACTCGCACTTTAATAGTAGTAACCAAAACGTTGATTTATTTTCATTTAACAGTTATAACGTGTTTATAATACATAATTTGTTATTAATTGAACACTTCAGGACATTAAAAATACATAACATATATAATACGAATTTTATGGCTTAAAAACTTTTTAAGCCATTAAATTCGTTTTGCCTGAAAGTCGGCTTATTGAATTGAAAAATTATTATTTTTTTGAAAGTTTTTATTTTTCCATTTTTGGTGTAGACGTAATAAGCAGGTAATTTGTAAGAAGAACGTTTTTTAATAACATATTGGATTAAATAATTTATTTAAAAAAAATTGTTCATTTAAAAAAAAACCGCTCGACCGATTTCGATAAAATTTAAATGGGACCTGAGAATAAAATAATAATTTCCAAATCGGTTAAGGCGTCTTCGAGTAATCAGTGAACATAATATAACAAAACATTAAAAAAAAAAGATTCCGACTAATCGAGAACCTCCTCCTTTTTGGAAGACGGTTAAAAAGTAAGGTTTTCACAATTATTTCCAACGTAACGGCAATTAGGAGAAAAGAGCTCTCAATATTTTTGTAATTAGCGCAGTTGATTGAGTCGCAGCCGATGTAACGATATTACGAATAATTTATTCGTTTGGCTTCGTCAGTGGGGGGACGAGACTCGAGAGAGACTCGAATCGGAATTAGTGGGACTACTTTTAAGTCTCTCTGATGTTCGCGAGTACATTTCGTAATTACATTGCTTAAATGGATTGCTGGGGTTAATCTGTATGGGGCCTAGTTGGTTCGCGGCTGCCAGATTCTCTTAAGTGAATGAGACCGTTGTCAGTTCCTTTCAATTCATTTATATTGCGTGAATTTCCTCTTAAAATATTTATTTGATTGTATTTAAAGATTTTTTTTTATTCTAGAAATAAATTTTGCATCATTTCGCATAGTTTGTATTTATATTGTTAATATTAGGTAGGTACAAATAGCATTCTGTTTTTTGCATAATCAGGCTAGTAAGTCAATTTAAACGATTTTCTTATAAAAGTAAGATAAAATTGAAGTTAAAATATTAGTTACTCGAGATAAAAAAATAGAAAATAAGTATAACCAGAGTTGTCAAACTTCGGTATTCTAACTTGACTTAATCTCGCTCAGCCCACCACTCAGTTTATAATTTCAAATACCTTATCGATATGGTTCTTTAACTTTTAATGTTATTCAACATTCGTTTTTTAACTCTCAGAATGTAGAGTAGTTAAGTTCTTAAAACTTTTGTTTTACGATTTATGATAACTTGAATATACCAGAATAAATCTACTCTGAAGTTGCAAAGACAATGCAAATATTTTCTAAACAACACTTGCATGTTAAGTAAATCACGTACAGTATCCACCGATTGTTGTTTCTGCTACTTGGTACGACATTTACATTAAGCTCCGAAGATAGCTTTAAAGTTAGCTTTTCTTTATATTATAACCGGTAAAGTTGTGTATTCAATAGAATATACGTATATGAATATATAAAAAGCTATATAGATTGCTATTTGATTTTTTGTTTGTTTTAATGCGCATATCTCTAAAACTACATGACTGATTAATAAATTATTTCTATAGCTTATAAATTAGATGTGAACTTCATAATCTATTTACCATAACGCTACCAATATTAGAAGCGGAATAAATAAACATCAAAAACCACGAGCAAAACCGCGGGCAATAGTATAGTAAAAATTGCAATAAAAGCATATAAATTATCATATAACATTTTATTCGTACAGGTATTTGACTGCCGCCAAGTGACAACCACGAGCGGAATGTTCGAAGCGCTGTGCAATCATATAAAATACAGCACCAATAAAGGAAATATCAGGTCAGTCGCATATCATAGAAAAAAATATTAATCATGTATAATGTACATTCGATGTGCTCTATTATATTGATATGAAATGAAATGAAAATGTATGCAGATTATATTGCTCTTCGATAATATTTTATGTGAGATATTTGAAAAGATATTTGCTGTAGCAGCACGTATCGAACTGCATTATCATAGGTTATATATATATATATATATATATATATATATATATATATATATATATTCGCTCTTTAATCTTTTAAATAGTTTCTAGTTTATTTTAAGGTTCCAACCGATTTACAACTTTACATTTTTAATAACATTATTATCTAGATTACCGCGTGTCTGAGATTTATAAAATTAGCATAACGCATGCTTAGATCGTTATAAATATTCATAAGGTTATAACAAGCTTTTATTTCAAGCGGGACTAGAAAAAAACTCTCTTTTGGAATAATTTCAAAACAAGCTGAAAAAATACTAGCAAAATAATTTGAACGAAGAGAAGGTGAGTCACCCTCGCTTCGCTCGGATTCGCCTCTAGACAAACAAAAACAAATCTATCCCACGGGAACTGTATATTTTTTCAGGATGAAAAGTAGCTGATTTGTTATTCTCATGTATAAACTATATTATTGTAAAGTTTCATTAATATCCAATCAGTGGTTTTTGTACTAAGCTGTATAAGTTACTATAGTTTTTTAACTATCTCACGGGAACTCTTTAATTTTCCGGAATAAAAAGTATTTAAAATGTTTACCAGAGATATAAGTTAACACCATGCAAAATTTCATTCAAATCGGTTCAACAGTTTCAGAGATTAGCCCGTACAAACAGACAAGCAGACAAAGAAACAAATAAATTGAAAAAATCTGGATTTGTTCTATTTCTCTTCTTACATCCCCTGACTCAGTTTTTAGCATTTTTTTCCTATGTACAGACATTCAACCTCTACAGTTTTATTATATGTATAGATTATTATAAACCAAACCATTACTATCTAAGAACGGATTTCAATTACCTATCTATATGTGGTTTTCCTTACTAGCGATAGGAATTCGATGTACATAAAAGGAAACTTCAGATAGATAGGTTTATTGAAATTTTTTGTAAATAAATAGGTCAGCGATAACTGTCTTCCCACAACGCACGGATGGCAAGCACGACTACAGAATATGGAACAGCCAGCTCATCAGCTATGCCGGGTACAAACTACCCGATGGTACTGTTCTAGGCGACCCTATGCATTGCGAGTTCACTGAGGTAAGAATAGTAGCAACACGTTATCTTCTAAGGGCAGAGAACATATAAGTACTCATTATTTATAAATAAGGTTTATTTGACTAAGATCTGTAATGTTTTTAATACAAGACGTTTATTGTTGAATCAAGTCGTTTGCAAGAAGAAACGACATCGTAAATATTTTTGTACACGCATTCTGATTAGTATATACTAAAATATCTAATGTGTAGAGTTTTTAAAACTCATAAAAATACTAGATCTTGTCAGTAAGTGGTCGATATATGTATATATGTTGGTATATACCTAACTAATACTGATATTAAGCTATCTACATTCAAAATTTTACTCAATAACCTTTAAGCCATTACCGCGTTACTCACTAACATCCTATTTTTAATATTAGTGTGGTTGCACTATAAAATTGTTCTTTTTTTTAATCTTCTTAACTTAATCTTAACTTAACCTAGCATAAATATACCAACATACATATCGAAGTGCGACAACAATAAGACTCTACAAAAATCTTCTACAGGTTTTATAAACCATACAACGAGAGCTCTCAACGGACTACCAGTGAATCCGATTTGAAAACTAGGCCGAATGCAAATTGTTTAGATGTACTACAATAGATAGAACAGCTGTCGAAGGATTTGCTTAGAGCTTAGAGCTCTATCTTCCAATCGCATCCATATAAGATGCTTATGTATCACGAATCATTCTAGTTTTGAAAGATTATAATAATAGGGACAGTTAATATCGATTGACAAACAGACAAAACTCAGGATATTATTAATATATCGAGTTTTTATTGTTTGTTAATATTTACAAATTAATTAAATTAAATAAATGATGTTGAAAATTTATTTTGAATGTAATATAAAACATTGAAAGCTTTTCATTGACCTCTAATAAATAAATCGTTCAATAGTGTCGCGTCAAACCCTACCACCTGATCCATATTATTTATTGTTCGAAAGGTTCTGAAGTCTAGAGTATTATATCTTTCTAATCCTAAGATATAAAAGATGGATTGATTTTACAAGTTATCATTGAAAAGCATTTTGTTATGATTTTACGCTTTACGAGAATTATAATTTCTATTTATAAGAAAAATATTAACTACATCATTATTAAAATATGCTATTCGATATAATGTATTCACATTTCATATGAATTAAATTATATTCAAATTTAAGACAATATGATAAAATAATTTTCAGTTAAATATCTTAAATTATAATTAAAACAAAATATTATTATTATTATAATATTTTATTAGAATTTCTCTACAAAAAATTAAAACAACGAATATTAAGTCGTTATTTATGTATGTATGTACTAGTGACTTACCGTCGCTTCGTTCGCGTACGTCCCTAGGCACGTCTTAAATAGATACACGTAGTTATTAGCCAGCGTTAGCCTTGTAAATGATTTTTATTTCGTGAATTTTCATAGTTATTCTGCTATTCGGGGCGGAGGCAACTTAACAATTCAAAGATCATACAAATCGGTTCAGCCGTTCTTGAGTTATGAATGTGTAACTAACTTGTTTTATAAATATAGATATTATTCGTCGTTATTTTAAATGCAGCTATTTTTTTCTCTAGCTTTGCATCAAACTGGGGTGGAAGCCGCCTCGCACCGCGTGGGACATCCTGCCGCTTGTTCTGTCCGCGAATGGTAAAGACCCCGACTACTTCGAGATCCCTCGGGAGCTCGTCATGGAGATACATATGACTCATCCTACGTGAGTACTTTACTTGATATTGTTCATTTAGTTAAATGAATGATATTATTTATGTTAATGTATAATTATTAAACAATTCGAACAAATCAGGGCTTAGTAAGAAAAGATTTCATTCTACAATCGTTAATCAACAGGAATTATTAAAATTGTACTGAAATAATACATTTAATGGTTATGTCATAGAATTATAATATGTCACTCGCATTTATTGAAGTTATACTTTTTTTGGCACGTTTGGAAAAAAATGAGGGTAAAGTTTTTACAGCTAAAAATCGATATGATGAAGTTAGCTGCATTCCTTTTACAAACAGAGTTCTGACATACGGGATGAAATCTTTAGCTATTTCCGTTCTGTTACGCGAAAGAAGTATAGCTTCTTACGCGCGTACGTACATAAGTAGACACACACGTTTTTTTTTATATTTCCCTTCTTTAACGATTGAAGAATGTCCATCAGTTTAGTCAATTAACGTTATTTTAAAGTAAAATTGCTTTAAAATGATATAAGACGATCAATCAGTACAATGTTCCAGCTACTTGAGTGAAATACGTAGTTGCTATCGTTTTTCATTTCAGATTTATGCCGACATAAAAAAGTCGGAGAATGCATATTGTGCTTTGTAAAGGCCCGCAAATAGGCGAATAGCGTCCATACAGAGCAGATTGCTTATCGTAAAAGTGTGGTCCAGTGATCTCCAATCTACGTTTATGGCCTATAAATCCGAGCTCATTCAATAATGTTTTGGTATTGATAATGTTAACTGGCTGTAATGTGTTGTAAAGAGGGCGTCATGATCGAGTGTCCGTAACTCATCAAAATTATATATATATATATATATATATATATATATATATATATATATATATATATAATACAAATTATGTTCTAGAGCTATTTTTATACTGTAATACGTGGGGTATTGTTAGCTAGTAATGTATCGAAGCGTATCTTCTGTAGATGCTCTACATTTAGAAAGAAACATGATTCAGGGATACTCTAAAACGCTTTCCTCGACGGAACATTTCTAAAGATTGCATTTACTACGAAGCTGTATAGCGTTTGTTTTTAATTATAAGAAACAATAGTTCGCACAAACAGCACTTCGATCAAAGTGGGTTTCGATTATTTATATAAGATAGATATGAACTTGATTTTTCTATTAAATATTCTATCAAGTTTTATTATTGCGTGAAACCTTACTTTTAATATAACTTCTAATTCTTTCATAAATTGGCATAATATATCCTATTAAAGTTTTATAGGTTTGCTTTTTACATTTTTTTTGTCCTTTATATTAGCATCTTGTTGACTTCACTACAAATAAGTTCGAAAGTTATATTAGAGAAATATACCTTACAAAATTCTTGATGATAAAATAAGTTTTAATCAAATTAATATATCATGGCAAAAGTTTGTTTATGTGTGCTTGATACTCCTTCGCGGTAAAACGGCTGGGCCAATTTAGGTGAAATTTAATACACAGATATACTATGACCCGAAACAACACATATGTTACTGTTAGTAATAAAAATTGCAAACATTTAAATTATATACTAAAAGATAAATGCACGTTTTTGTATCAAAGGCCCCTAGAGTAGTTTCAAATAAAGTAAAAAAATTATATTTATATGAATTTATCCGAATCAGGCAAGATTGGTTCGAAGAACTCCAGCTACGTTGGTACGCACTGCCCGCGGTGTCGAACATGCGTTTCGACTGCGGCGGCATAGAGTTCACAGCGAACGCCTTTAACGGCTGGTACATGAGCACTGAGATCGGCTGCCGGAACTTCTGTGATACTAACCGCTTGAACATGCTTGAGGTAGGTATTTTATTTTATATTATAAATCAAACTATACCTATTCAAATAAACTTTTACAATAATCTTTGAATAGATAATTTTTACACTTAAAATTTTCATTTTTAATACTATAATTTTGTACTTATACTATGTAGTAGTATAGAGTATCAATAATTAAAATTATTCACTTAGCAAAATAAGTTAAATAAATACAGATCTGGTTCAGATACAGTAATTTTCTTTTTTGGCAATAAACCAACGTATATTGTGGCTCATTTTAAACGAGAATCAAAAAAGAGCGTAAATAATTTTAAAGTTAAATATTTATATAAATATATTTAAGAGTATATACTAGCACTAAATGGTAACTAACATTACGTAAAATAATGGTTATAATATAATGTTTGGTATTTCTATTGTATCTGTTTAGAAAGTAGCACAAAAGATGGGCCTAGATACGCGTACGCCAGTGAACCTGTGGAAGGATAAGGCGTTAGTGGAAGTAAATGTCGCTGTTCTTCATAGCTTCCAACAGCACAATGCAACTATTGTCGATCATCACACTGCCTCCGAAAGCTTCATCAAGCATTTGGATAATGAGAACAGGTTACGGTAAGTGAATATACAAAAATATAAAAAAAGAATGCTTATGCCCGATTTCACCAATAACCCGTAAGGTATCACCTACGTATGGGATCTCTAGCTTAAAAGGTTCCTAAACTAGCCCCTAAATTAAATTTCGTTTTACGATCGTCTTTAAGCCCATATTTCGAGCACCTAAATTTAGGGGGCCTTTTAATATTTAGGTGACCCCTAACTGTCGGTGAAACAGAAACTGTTCCCTAACAGCCCCCTAACCATGCTTAGGGGTCCCTTAAACTTAGGTGACGTTGGTGAAATCGGGCATTAAAGTCTTATTTTTTATGTTTATTATTTCATTAAAAGTTACGTGCTAAAATTATTTTTAAGTCTAAAAGTTTAACTCGTGGAGATAGGTTCATTAGAGGAAAAATTACCCGCGAAAGTTAGCACAATTTTAACTTCAAAAAGCTCTTCTGTAATAAACGTTACGAAAAAAATACAACGCTTTTACAGAGGCTAAGAATAGAAAGTCAAACAATTTATATGATAAAGATATACAGTTTTAAGGAATATAATTGTTTAAAACCATAGCTTATTTTAAGTGAACATTTCTTGTTCTTCAATCTTAAACTGTATTTAAAAAAAAACTTTACGGCTTTAGTCTTTGTTCTTTAGGAGTCGAGAGCCATCAAAACAAATATAAATATGTTGGGACATTAACACACAGCATCATCTAGTTCCATGGTAAGCTACGAGGCTTGTGTTATGGATACTAGAAAGTTGATACACTGCATATATATAACTTTAAATACATACATATTATATATATATAAACACCCATGACTGGAGTACAAACATTCGTGCTCATCACACAAATGAATGCCCCTAGCGGGATTCGAACCCGCAACCGCTGGCACAGCAAGTAGGGTTACTACATACTGAGCCAAACGTTTCGTCAATATGTATGTTAAGCTGAAAAAAAAAACAATAAACAGGTTCAGATGAATCAAAATATTTACATGTAAGCTCAAGTAAACTCGCGGCGTAATTACAAGCAATCCGCAGACAAGTTACAGCCATTAAGCTATCATCGCTCCAGCCTTGCGATTGTTTGGCCACATGTGTGATGTGATAACACAACGTGTGACTGTTTGTGTCTGCTCCATATTCTAGATGTAATGATAAGGAGGATATGATTCTATAAATAATTAATTAATACAAAGTATTATATATTAGTAAATTATTTTGCACTAATGCTATTTTAGCCATTAATGTTCTTCTTAAATTTTGCACTTAGAAGAGGTCTTATATTATACATATATTGAAAAATATAAAAATATTTACATTTAAAATCAGATAATTGTAAACATCTAAAATATATATAAAATTCCAAATCCTGACTGACTGATATATCAACATAGCACAGCTTAAACCGCTGGTCCCAGATACATTAAATTTGGAGGGTGTGTTCTTTGTGAAGCGTACTTATCCACGAAGAAAGGGTTTTTTGACTGTCTACCCCTGAGGAGGTGAAATAGGATAGTTAAATTTTCTGTGAAACTTTTTATTCTCTGGGTCGATTGATTCGAAAATTAGCACACATACTCTTCTTTTTTTTCTTCTTTTTTCTTCAATTAAAATTATGAGACACGTGTATCACAATTTTTTAAAAATCGTTCCCCAAAATAGTCAACTAGGGCTTTGAAAATCCTACACAGCATGGTAGACGGGCGTGCGGTGCGCAGGGTGGCGCAGGGCGTGCGGGGGAACGGGGGTGTTTCTGTATTAATGGATTACTTATAACATAAAGCTATAGAACTTGTTTTTTTTTGTAATTTTAACGCCAGCGAAGCCGCGGGTTCTGCTAGTTTCGCATAGGAAACAACTGCAGGCTTAACAGGTAGCGTAGACGTTATACGTGCCTATGTCGATAGAAGCGGGTAAATTAATTAAAATCGCGTAAATATTTGGTATACAAGAGCATTGTTCATACACTATTATCGGCTTACAATTTATGCACTTCGCATACGAGGCACGTAATACTTCCAGTTATCTCAAATTTATTATAAAGAAACAGCTTTACAGATCGTAAATCTGCGACCTTTATCTGATAGTAATTATTTTATAAACTCATATTGATAGCATCTTTACTTTTTAATATGGTGTGGCTAAAAATTCTTAGAATAGTGTTTATTGTAAACTGTTTATAAATTTCAAGTAACCCTAATAACTATCAGTAGGTACGTCTATTTTTTCTGAAAAGTATTTTTGAAGTTAGTAGGAAAATTTAAAAAAATAATTATTTATACGAATTTTATAATAACGTCGGTAAGTTAAAAAAAAGTAGCGATAATACATGCGAATTAGCAGACTCAATTCTTATTGAGCATTGAATTCTATATAATCAAAAAGCACTATAGTATTGCAAGTCTCTCTTTTATATATTAATACTAATCTACACTAACATAATAAATAGGTAGTTTGTAAGTTTGTTTGTAAGGTGTAATATCTGAAATTACTGATCCAATTCTGAAATTGTTTTTACTTATAAACAGCCGCCGACTGCTAGAGGCTGCTATGTACATATATCTCGATAAAAATGTGTTTTAATACTATAATGATTTCCATATAAAATTACTCATTTCTCAATAGTCAATTTCGGAAACCCTTTTAGTTGCTTCATCGGCATGCTTTGCCGAAATGTTTTAAAATAAAGTTATAAAATGTTTGGCAAAAAGATACAAAAGTATTTTCGATGATAGCGTCGCACCCGTTTGAAGTAAGGGTAAATCGCTAATAAAACATATTGCTGTATAAGTTATTTTTATAATTTTGCAAAGCTCCGGCTGTCCGGCGGACTGGATATGGATCGTGCCGCCGATGTCGTCATCCATCACTCCGGTATTTCATCAAGAGATGGCGCTCTACTACTTGCGACCAGCTTACGAATATCAGGTTATTATACTTGAATTTTATTACAAAAATTGAGTATATATATATATATATATATATATTAGGGCGACCCAAAAAAAAGGATTATTTTTTTTTTCATGTCTCGTGTGAAAATATGTTAGTTTACTATGTTTTAAGAGTCCCCTCCAAAGGACAGCTCTAAAAAAATTTTTTAAAGGTCGTTTACAATTTTCTTAAATTTCCTAAATCCTCAAAAATCGATTTTTTTTTTCAAATGCTTTTTCTCGTAATTTCATTTCTTTTTACATGAAAAATTATGAAGATCCTGAAAATTTCAAGTCAAAATTAAAGAAACAAAAAAAAAATTATCTCGTGCTTTAATTTCATTCTTTAGCATATGAAATTTAAGGAAAAAAATATTAAGTTCGTTAATATTCATGTTAAGAAGTTGCTCAAATAGATATAAAGTACTCGATTTGAAAACTTAAAAAAATTGTAGCGACCTCTAAATATTAAAATTTTGACTTGAAATTTTCAGGATCTTCATAATTTTTCATGTAAAAAGAAATGAAATTACGAGAAAAAGCATTTGAAAAAAAAAACGATTTTTGAGGATTTAGGAAATTTAAAAAAATTGTGAGCGACCTTTAAAAAAATTTTTTTTGAGCTGTCCTTTGGAGGGGACTCTTAAAACATAGTAAACTAACATATTTTCACACGAGACATGAAAAAAAAATAATCCTTTTTTTTGGGTCGCCCTAATATATATATATATATATATATATATATATATATATATATATATACTCAAATTCATAAAAATTTATTGAGTTCTAATTATATATTTTTTATAATAAATAACAAACGCGACTTGCTAGAACGCACTTATGGCATCTTTGAATGATAATTTATCCCAATCACTTAGAAACTCCTCTGGTCTTCACACAAATTTAATATACTTTTAAATTAATATTAGGTATTTATAGGTATGTATATTGTAGGTATATGCTTTGTAAGGTATGCTGCTTAAATAGCAAATGAATATAAGAAAGCCATAATAAAATATTTAACACGAGTGGCATTCGAACTCACGATCTTCTATCCGATACTTTGATTATGCTGTATATTGTCAAATTCTAGTAATATTACAGACTACACAGAACATGAATTTTTGTAGGAACCAGCGTGGAAAACCCATCAGTGGCAAAAGTCAAAGCCGATCACCGGCAAGAGGCCCATAAATAGAAAGTTCCACTTCAAGCAGATTGCGCGCGCCGTCAAATTCACATCCAAACTCTTTGGACGAGCGCTTTCTAAGAGGATTAAAGCGACAGTTTTGTACGCGACGGAGACCGGCAAGTCTGAGCAGTATGCCAAGGAGCTAGGGGTCATATTCGGACACGCTTTCAACGCTCAGGTAGTTTGTAAACCAATAAAAGTATTGCTCTTGATGCTATTGTAGTGTATTACGGGGTGCTAGTTGGTTAGTTAAGTTTGGATTTGAATGATTTGCGATTTGAACGCACATATGTATTGTTTTTTGTGGTACAGATCTTTGATACTGTTTTTATGGTATAAGTCTTTGAACTGTACTTAACATGCAAAATAAAGCACATATAAATAAACAATTATGACTCAATTTCTAAAAATTATTTTAAAAATCTAATATTTTTCGTCAGAATCGAGTTTCGAAAAGGTGTAAAAGACTGACAGCGTTAGCTAATTTAAAATACATTAATCGCTTCAAAATCTATTTTTCCCGTGAAATCTGTCATATCAGAGCGGATAATAGCGCGTTAAATTGTGAACGAGTGATTCATAGACAGTTTTCATGGGAATTTGTTTTTCAGGTTCATTGTATGATGGATTACGATATTACGTCTATTGAGCATGAGGCGCTGCTGTTGGTCGTGACTTCGACTTTCGGTAATGGAGATCCTCCGGAAAATGGCGTTGTAAGTATGAATATTATATATATATAGAAAATCTACTAATAATGTAAACTAGAGTATAACTAGTTTCTAAGTCACTTTAAATTTAATTATTCTTTTAAATACAATAATTCCGTAAGATGGTTTTATCTTGAAATAAAAATAAGTTTGATCAAATAATTAAAAAATTAACAATGAAAATCACCAAAATTATAGACTTTAATCGACTACTTCCTTTGCGACAGTCCGTTAATTAGGTATTAATAATAAGTATTTATTTATTGTGTTATAGTTAAAGTGAGTAAATCATCATCATATATATATATAAATCAAACAATATTTTTCACTCTATTCTCTCTTTGTACTAATTCTTTGTATCGATCTTTGATCGAAGTCCTTATAATGCAGTGCCAATAGGTTTACAAGACTCTAAAACTTTGAAAGCATTTGGACAAGTTTGTGTTACGAGTATTTGCTATACAAAAGCAAATATCTTGTATATTACCTTACCTGTTGCTCTAGATGTGAGACTAATAAACAAGAGGATTGCTAACGAAATGAGGATGATAAAGTAATTTTGGTGTCTACAACAAAATGTACAGGGCTATAACATTTTTAATACTAGTAGTTTTGTGAACAGTAGACCTTGGGATCACAAACTGCATTTTGAGGAGTTATTCTGCTCATCACGCTGAAGATCCTCAACAGATTTCAACCAATTTTTCATAAGTCTAACTTAAAGTTACTACCTTTGGTATAAAAAACGAACCATTAAAATCGGATCTCATAAGGTGGAGTTATCCAGTATCCCTTTTTGCCCCATTTTTGGAGGAATTACCCCTCCAATCAAAAAGCTCCGACGACAAAAAATCTATAAAGTCGTAAAACTTGTATACCAAGTTTTGTCCAGATCCGTTGTAAAATACGACCTGTAGAGAAGCCAACCAAACCAACGAACTAATAGAGGAAAGCAAATATGCCAGACTTAAAGCAGAGACGCTTCGCTCGCTCGGTTAATTAAATAATAATTAAATAATTGAACATATTTAAAAATTAAATAATTAGTTTTTTTTATTAAGTAACACAATCGTAATAATACAATCATGTGTATATTTGACATTTTAAACACCTAAAACTTTTTTTGGGATTTTTTCGTGGATTTGTTTTGATTTTCATTACCAAAAATATTAACAATATACGAGTATATATATATATATATATATATATATATATATATATATATAATAACAACAGTAAAAATATATTAACTTTGATAAAAATAAATTAACTCTGAGAGCATTTCAGCTGTTTAAAAACACTGGTGAATAAAAATAGTAAAAAGGCAAACGTTACCAAAACCACATGGAACACTAATGGGCAATAAACTAAATTAGTAGCCGATTTAAAGATTTATGAGTGGTTAGCTCAGCTTTTTAAGCTTTATGTTATAGGCATGCGAGCTTTGTATAGATATAGACTTAGACTTACGATTACTATTAAGCTATATAATATCGATCAAGATATTATCACGTGTGTATTACTATAATACCAAAGTACCTATTTCATACTGTAACAAAGTGTTTAAAGATTTTTTGTATAGAAATAGGTTAGGTCAGAGTGACGTTTTTTAAGTTAGAATGTTTTATATTAAACGTTTACAAGTGAATTGTGTAGTAAAACTCATTTGCCTTCATGTCTATTTTTGTCTTTACAATACGATTGGCTACTCACTAGACTGCTAAATAAATCAGTGTGTGAAAGGACAGTTAAATATAAATATAAATATAATATTGGTTGTTGTAACAATATTTTTATTCTCAATCATTTAAAACCCAATCACTGCGTAGTTAGCACAATGGACCCTTATCTCTAAAAGCGATCTGTTATTAATATGCATAGACTCGATTGTAATTGAACCGATCTATCCACCAGCATTAATCCAACGTAACTTTAACGAACATTTAGCATATTGTAATTGCAAAACAAACTATTTATTAATAGCTTAATGAAAATAATATATTATTTACTAGTTGTCTCTCACGGTTTCTAACGCGTGATTGTTTTAATTTTATTCAGAGCTAAATTAAGGGGAAAGGCGAGGGCCGAGGGGGGAGGGGCTGCAACTGGAATTGCCCCAAGGCCTCCATTGTAGACTTTTTTGTAATGGTTTTATATTAGTTTTTTTAATGTGTTTATAATGTTTTTATGACCAGAGTACTACCAAATTAAAAAGAAAGCCAATAGAACTACTTTGCATTATTATTATTAGAGAACTCCACTTTTTCATCGCCTCAAGGTTTCCAAACTTTTTAATCCGGCTCAGATTTGATAACAACTACGAGTACTTAAAATGACTGCCTAATGCCTTATTTTAAAACGTTATTAATTTATTGCATTTGGTCACCCTTGGTTTTTTACAACTATTTACTTATTTAATTGGTTTTATTAAATGTAAACTATATAGAAATAGATTTGTTTGGATAAGTTACTTGTTGACTAAAAAAAGCTGCATTGAAAGCTTTTTAGCCATTCTCAAGTAATGCAAAAGCACAAAAAAAACTATTTTCTTTTGAAGGTGTGAAGCAATCTTTAATAATAGAGCAAGCACGCTCTGAATTTAAGGGTGAATATTAATATATGGATAATATCTCAAAAAAATAATAAATAGGTAAAACTTAATGACGCTAAAATATTTTATAATATATATTTAATTTATAATTTAACAGGCTTTTGGGGAGCAACTGTGCGAAATTTTATATTCAGATCAAGAGGGCACCGGGTAAGTTTAAATAACAGCATTATTACTAAATATTATAGTCTTACGTCTTAGGTGGTTCATTTATATACGAATTTTAATTGTTATTAATACATTAATATTAATATATACGATATCTGCAATTGTTATTTACATTTAAATGTTTTTTTTTTGAGATAAGTATGTATTAGCAGACAGTTAAATGTACAGACATTTTGTGGCTTAATTTTAATTAAAACAGGCAAACAAAGATTACCTATCACTACTAGATTCTCGTCCGATCTCAATCGTCTAATTTCTAATTAATATACACTTCTAAGTATTATATATATTTTAGGGGCTCTCAAATGCTAACACCAAAATCTTTCATCAAAGCAAATAGCCAAATTGAACTTCAGAGATATGCCGTTGCTAATCCAAAGCAACTGAGCAGGCTTGAGTCATTAAAAGGTAAGGCCTAGTAATATTTAGAGCGAGAAATTTTCTTTTAATTAACACGTAATTAAAATGGTAGCAAGTCTAAATATTTTATTCCTAGATTCTTGATATAAAAATATACATAGCTTTTTCATTTCCTATAATATTCCAAAAACCCAAACATTTGAATAATATGAATCAAAATGACTTCTGTGTTATTTCTCTTTGTAAGTAAATTTATTTAATTTATTGGGGTAATATTCATTCTTAGTCAGACGAATGTTTTAAATGCGATTTGTATGTGTGTGTTTGTTTGTTACTCTTTTACGCTGAAATGACTGAACAGGCTGTTGACGCTAGTATAAAAGAATATATATATATATATATATATATATATATATATATATATATATATATATATATATATAGTTTAAATTAATAAATATAAACAGGTAGCGCAACAGATGCGACATCGATCGATAGTTTCGGACCACTAAGCAATGTTCGCTTTGCCGTGTTCGCGCTCGGCTCTAGCGCGTATCCGAACTTTTGCAACTTCGGCAAATACGTGGACCGATTACTTGGAGATTTGGGAGGCGAGAGGATACATGATGTGGCCACTGGTGATGAGATGTGCGGACAGGATCAGGCCTTTAGGAAATGGGCATCTAGCGTGTTTAACGTGAGTTTTTTTCATTACATTTACCTGGTGAAATACAGTTAGTGTCAATGATATATATTAGCAATCCAATGATATTTATGATCTAATAGGATGTAAATATTTACTGATTTTAATTTGTGATGTAATTATTTTTTTTTATAATATTAGTAGTAGCTTAACCAAGGACTACGTATGATATAACCGGTGCTTACAAAATCATGAATGTAAATGATCATCATTAATTGGCTTATATCCGGTATAGTTGAACGTAAAAATGATAATAATAATGACGGAAGTTTTTCTACTTCTTATTGGCGTTGGGAATTCCATAATCATTGTTTTATAGCTAGGAAAACACTTAATTTTAATATTATGATTATATCTATAAAATATCTTCACACAATATTTTGGTTAAATAAAAATGTATGTAGTTTGGTATGAAATTTCAGTAGTAATATCAGTATGAGACTATATTTTTAAGGAAAGATATTCATTAATGTTATTTTATGTTTTACTCATTATAATTTGCTAATTTAGTTACCAGACATACTGTCACTTCACCAGACGAAAATAGATATTAAAACAACGCAGAATCAATATTTACTCTTATAATCTTTGATAATCATATATGTGTCAGTCTTATCCGTGTTTATCATTCGTATTTCGTAAAAATTCAGAAACTATACATATATCTTATCAGATACGAACTTTCTTTCACATCATGTTTCTTAGATATAGCCAAGATGATTGTTATCAGTGTCATCTATCAAGGTTCACTTTGTTTAGGTTGCGTGTGAAACGTTCTGTTTGGATGATGATGAAACTTTGCAAGAGGCCAAGAGAGCTTTAGGTACAGTTGCACTCAGCGAAGAAACTGTCAGATTTACCCGTCCAGCTTGCAAGCCTCCTGTACTTCTGAATGCTCTGCAATCTACTGTGAACAGACAATTAATAACATGTGTTGTCAAAGCCAATAAAGATTTAGGAGATTCTAGCGCGGAACGTTCTACGATTTTCATAGATATGGAACCTCAGGTATGGTTTGATACTAAATGGACTACGATATAAAATCTAACGGACATTTTATATATATAACAATATTTCAGGGCGAAATCAATTATGATCCCGGCGATCACGTTGGTATAATGGCGTGTAATCGCAAAGAATTAGTGGACGGCCTGCTCGCTCGGCTGAAGGACATCGATAATTATGATGAACCGTTGCAATTGCAACTTATGAAAGAAACACATACTTCAAGTGGTGAGCAAATACGATTGTATTGAAATAATTACTGATCTGACAGTCTTTATTAATTTACTGCCTTTCTGATTCATCTGAAATCTTTAAGTTTTCTTGTTGTCTTGTTTTTGAGTTTATATATTTTTAAAATATACCTTTACATATATATAAGAAATGATCTATGTATATATTATCGTCGGTGTCTCTATAGTAGTGGTAGTTTAATAAGAAAAATTACACACAAGTACATTTTATGGACCACTTTTATAGTTATTAAATGACACATTTATGGTAAAATATTAATTTATTCAAATTGCAAATTTTGTAATGAATAATTTTACATCATATTTAATACCATCTTACTTATAGATTTATCATCATATTATATACAAATATAATATAGTCGTTTATATGCGAATATAATAAAATAATCAACAGGAACGTCAGTTTCTAAATTTTGAACATTTATTTAGGTCCGGTAAAGTCTTGGGAACCTCATGAACGTCTTCCGGTGGCCAGTGTTCGTGACCTATTCACCCGTTTCTTGGATATAACGACCCCACCTACAACTATCCTACTGCAATATTTAGCCAAAACTTGCAATAATGAAGACGAAAGAAAGCAATTGAATACGCTTGCTACTGTAAGTTTTGCTTTTAAAATTACAAAACAATACAGCTGAATTGAATACCTAAGTTTTAAATCGGTCGATTAAAATAAAATAAATGTACATACGATAAATGTTTTTAAATATAAAAAAATAAATCAAATTTTCTATTATAATTTCATCGAGATTTTAAATATTTCTAGACGAAACTAGCTTTCCCAATAAACAAACATGCTACATACACATTCATAAGTTAAAATAACAGGAAATTGATTTTTAACAGGATCCGGCATCTTACGAAGATTGGCGTCATTATCGTTTCCCGACTTTACCCGAAGTTTTGGAACAATTCCCATCAGCGAAACCAAGCGCTTCTCTATTCGCAGCTTTACTGTCTCCTTTGCAACCAAGATTCTACTCTATTTCGTCATCTCCGATCGCCCACCCCAAACGATTGCATCTCACTGTAGCTGTTGTCACTTATAGGACTCAAGGTTTGTTTGATGTAAATTACATTATCTTTTAAATTTATTTTAATTTTATGTTTATTTAACGATTTTAATTTTTACGCACTTATCTCTCAATTGGGACTCTCAATCGGCAGCCATGAATGTGACATTTTTATTTTTCAAATTTTATGAAAGCTTTATTTTCTGTTAGGGTGCAGAATTTATTGTTAAAAAATAATAGATATAGATGTAAGATGATTGAATTATAAGACAAAATTTTGTTACGAACTCCAGACGAAGCGTTCGAATAAATATTGAAGCTAAATAAGGACTTTTCTGATAATGAAATTCAACAACTACTATTACGATATTTACGGTTTTGCATCATATTGTAAATATTCTTTGTTGTGATTGTGCACATCTTAATGTTTACCGCCATGGCCCAGCTGGAGATGGATTATTTACAAATAGCAGAAATGAACAGACACATAATCGCGTTTATAGATCAAAGTTTACAATGTCTTATCCCACGTAGTTTACGTAGATTCCACTGTTTGATTGCAAAACATTCTATTTTCATTACAAGCTCTGTGAGAATTTCTATTGTTGGCCGTGATATGAATTGATCTGAGAATATTTTGTATTTAAATGCCAATATTTACTATTAACACTGTTTTCTTTATTACGCCTTATTTATTTCAAAGGTGTTTTTATACGTATATAATATATTAATATGTAAATATTTTTTATATTTACTATACTTAATATATAATTGTTTTTAATGCGCAGATATTACATATTACGAACAATAAATACTGAGCTACTAATTTATTTCAAAAAGGCTTAATTTTTATTATTCAATGTAATATCTGATATATTATCGAAGAATTCTATATAAATTATTACCAAAATTAATAACATTATATTATACGTAAATATAGTCAAAATTATGTTTTACACAAACATACACGGTGATGTCATGTTTGAACAGATGGCGAAGGTCCTGTCCATTATGGTGTTTGTTCAAATTATCTCATGGATCGTAAACCTGGGGATGAAGTGTGTCTATTCGTGCGAAGGTAAACACTTCCTTATTATGTAGCATAACTTTCTATCAATAAACTTTATGTCATACCTACGGCTTATGATAACAATAATAGTGATTTACTTATTTAAAAAAAAAAGATCATCTTATTCCTTAAAAGTCTTATAAAAAAGGGCAAAGTTGTTTTTTAAAAAAGAACTATAAAATTGCAATGATTTTTTAAACTATTTTAAATTGCAGTGCTCCAAACTTCCACCTCCCGCATGACTTGTCCGTGCCTCTTATACTGATAGGCCCCGGAACAGGCATAGCACCCTTTAGAGGATTTTGGCATCATCGTAAAGCACTCCTTAACACTCGCTCACGCTCTAACATTGGCCCAGTCTGGTTATTCTTTGGATGTCGGACGAAGACCATGGACTTGTACCGAGAAGAGAAAGACCAAGCACTTAAAGATGGCGTACTCTCGAAAGTGTTTCTCGCATTGTCTAGAGAGAAAAATATTCCGAAGGTATGATTTTAAAATAACAAATCGTATCTATAACAAATAAGTATATTTACGTAAATATAATTATTTATTACATTTAATATATTTTTCTTTTAGATGTACGTACAAGAGTTGGCCGAAAATGAAGGGTCGGAAATCCATGATTTATTGATAAACAAAGGAGCACATTTTTACGTTTGCGGTGATTGTAAGATGGCCGAAGACGTGCATCAGAAACTGAAGGGAATTATAAAGAAACATGGAAATATGACCGACGAGCAAGTACAAAACTTCATGTTCCTGTTGAAGGTGAGAAAGCATAATATTATATCTTGGACTACTTCTTTAAACTGTGTCGTTTTTACATATTATTGTTTCATCTTTTTTAGAGCTGTTTATTTTTGTTATACATATCCAACATAACCCGCTAGTTGAACCTTATTTAAAATTTTATGTATTTAGGACATAAATTTACTTTTTCATAACATACAAATAGTTTTAAAACGAACAACATAACAGTAATTCCTTCTTCCGCTTGTATGCTCACAAAAGCATTAGAAAAAACATGACTCAAATAGCATTTAAATAACTAAGATCAAATTACCCCAATCAGGAAGAGAATCGCTACCACGAAGATATATTCGGCATCACGCTGCGCACGGCGGAGGTGCACAGCGCGTCACGCGAGTCCGCGCGCCGCAACCGCGCCGCTGCGCCATGACGACGCTCCTCCCGCCTCGTTGCGCTCAAGCAGAGATAAACGTACTTTGAAAATAATTTCTCACTTAATACTACTTAATATGAGTTCAAGACAAATCAAAACAATCGGCTATTTAAACAACAAGTACCTACCTACTTATTAAAAGAATTAAATGGCCTGTTTTTATTTTATTTAAACTATATTATATTAATTAATTATTTTTATAGATATCATGTATTATACATGTCATCATCAAACTTTTTCTATATTTTACATTATCGTTTTGATTCTTTTTGAAGTTATACTTCTTTTGGCACGTTTGGAAAAAAATATGAAAGTAAAATTTTTAAGATGTGCGCGCACACCGACAGCCAAAAAAGTTAGCTGCATTCCTTTTACAAACGGAGAGTTGTGACATACGGGATGAAATCTTTAGCTATTTTAGTTCTGTTGCGTCAAAGAAGTATAACTTTTTACGTGCGTACATAAGTACACACACACGTTTTTTTTAATTATGGCTTAAGCCATTTTTTTGCGTTGGCTCAGTATATATTTTATTATTTATATTTTTTTTAATTTTTAACCCCCGACGCAAAGAGGGGTGTTATAAGTTTGACGTCGATGTCTGTCTGTGTGTGTGTGTCTGTCTGTGGCATCGTAGCTCACAAACGGATGGACCGATTTCAATGCGGTTTTTTTCATTTGAAAGCCAGTTTCCTTGCGGTGGTTCTTAACTATGTTTGGTTAATATCGGTCCAGCAGTGTACGAGCTCTTTTCCAAAATGATGTACGGCATTTTGGCGTATGATTACTCGATTAATGCTTCATGCGTGCCAGTGTAATCGTTAAATGACAATTAATTTGCGTAGGGGTTTTTTTATTATTAATAGTTTTTAAAATAATATTATTATTTTTTTAATTTGGAAACTTAAATTTCTTAGATGAGCTAGAATATTCATTATAGAAACGATATACCTTATGACATTTTCAAATAAAAGAATGTGGTATTAGAGAGGAAGCTCTTCCTAATAGGTCTGGTAATCGACGTAGGACGCGCGTTGGTTTTTGTGTTTATAATAAATGTTATAAAAAATATATATTTACAAGTCTTATTTTTACAAGTCGTATGACATTAATAATTTGACCTTTCTCATTAAAAAGCCGTTATTTAAGTAGTGTTACGTGAGAAAACTCTAAATATCCAATACACTATTTATCTATATAATATTTGTTGACTGTTCTGTAGCATACTGTGACGAAAACAACTAAGGTTTGTATTATTTGCAATATATATATTTCACTTAAAATTCGATTCTCATATATAAGGAGTATTATTAAATATCTCATCATGTAGTGTCGGAAGTGAAATATATTAATGAAAATTTCATACTTTCCAGTATACATATTATATATTACTTCGAAATCATATGGCTTCAACTATAGTGCTGGATTTACTCTCGGGGCCAGTGCCCAGGGCGGCACAATTCAAAAGGGTGAAAAAAATTTTTTTCTTTGTGTTATCGTTTTTTTTCAAAAAAATATATAAAAAAAATTAAACTTTCAACATTTTATTCAATATTTCGATAATATGGCGGTATTTTTTACTATGCCCAGGGGTGGCGATAAGGTAAATCCGGCACTGTTCAACTATTATACATTAATTGTATAATTTCTTCTTTAATATGTACCGAACTATATATAGTCTTAGTATGACACAGCTTAGTTAATGATATTCATAACTTTTAATGTAACGTTACAATTTATCATACTATTGAATGTAGCCTTACCACTTGCAAATAAATCGCAAGTGAACCACATGAGGATATCTCTTTCTATTTATTTTTCAAAACGCGGTTTTATATTTTCAATAATTATAAAAGTTTATAATATATGCTAATATAACATAATAATATTGATATCTTGTTATATATTAATTTTCTTATATTTTTTTATCAACCGTCTTCAAAAAAGGAGGAGGTTCTCAATTCGGTTGTTTTTTTTATATTTGTTATCTCGGAACTCCGTCATTTATTAACCAACTTGGACAATTTTTGTTTTACTTTAAAGTGTATGTATTGTATTGTATTCAGCCCTTTTTAACGTCCCACTGCTGGGCGCGGGCCTCCCTTCAATACGAGGGGGATCAGGCCATAGTTCACCACGCTGGCCAAGTGCGGGTTGGCGGACTTCACATGTCTTTCGAAAACTTACTTACTTTCTCTCAGACATGCTGGTTTCCTCACGATGTTTTCCTTCACAGATAAGAGAAGTGGTAATCATGCTGGAAATGATTCGCACATAAAAATATCAGAGGTGCGAGACCTCGGAATTGAACTCGCTTCACTCGGTTTCACAAGCGAGCGCGTCACCACTGGGCTACCACTGCCTTTTAAAGTGTATACTTCTGTGAAAACGACCAATCAGTTATTTTTTACTTTCTACTGTCTTTTTTGAAGTCGGTTTTTATTTTATATTTAAGGAAACCATTTAATATTCTTTGAAAAAATAAATACATTTTCACATTTATAAAGTTAGTATTGAATCAAAGATTTATATAAAGGATTTTAAGTACCATTAAGCAATACTTCAGTTTATTTAACTTACACTTGGAATGAACAGCTTGCCACTGTCAAACTTATTATTTTTTATTTAAAACCTTTAATACCTTTAATCACTTGAGATTTATTTATTATTATTAATAAAAATATTTATATGTATAATTTTAATTTGATATTTTCGTATGTGCCCAATTTCAGAAATAGGAACTTCATATATACATAGACTACATAGACACAGCTTTGTTAAATGGACTATCTCGAAATCTATGTAAAAAGGTAGTTTCTAATAATTTTTTCAATCCGTTGTTATTTATTATTCCTTTTCTTATGCCAATTAAAGCACCTCAAGTACGAACTTATTTTCTCTTAGATTTTTTTGTATGTAACCAATAAGCGTACAAACCAGTTATGAATTTGTTTATACAGCTTTTCATGTATTTCTAGTAAATTATTATTATTCCTATGTCTTTCAAAGAATATAGGTACATTAAGCAGGGTTAAGATGTTTTACGCACAAAAATCTTCTGTTGTTTAGAAATTCTATTTTATAAAGCTTCGACTTTGAATGTATTATGATGCAAATAAATTAATGATCTTTGAAATTATAATATTATGAATTTACTAATCCATATTCTTTAGGATGTAATTTTAATACATTAGATTATAATTAATAACTTTTAAATCAATTTTCATATTCATATTGTCCATCATTAAAATTAAATGATATTCTCACATGTATATTGAATGCATTTAACTATAGTACGTAAACAAATTTTGTTATATTTTTATATTATTTTGTATTTAATGTAGTTAGCGAACAACGAGAGTTTATTTTAAATGTTTGTGATTGCCAAAATTTGTACAAAATATTTTATAGTTAGGTTATTTTGCGCTTTGTAAATATAATATTTGGTTATCTATCAAACGAACCATTGATTTTTATTTTTATGTACTTTAAGAAGTGAAATATTTACGCCAAATATTTTATTGAATTATTTAAACAAATTATTTAAGGATATAAAATGAAAATATGTGTTAGCTATATTTATCATCGTCTAAATCCTATTCTATCTTCTACGCTGTTAGTCGTGAATGTTGAATTTGTGATCCTTTACGCTAGTCCTAAGAAATGTATTCATATTTTCTATTATTCATGTTTAAATATAAAATATACAAAAAATATTTCTAATGACTAATATTTCTATATCACATAAAATTATTATAATAATTGTCTTTACCAAATATTTACTATTGAAGTCATATCTTCTAAATTTAAAGCACGTTTGGGACTAAAATGTATTATGACATTCATATCAAGATAATTCGCACTGTTTCAACTAGTAATGATGTTGATGTTTGACTGCATGAGGAACAAGTATTTGCTATTGTAAGTTATTTGCAACTATTGGATAATAAATTGTCTGTTATTTAACAAATAAAGTTCCTTAATATTCGGTAACGACTAAGTTTTGTTTTATTTTTATTATACCTTATTCGTCAAAATCTTTACACAGAAAAACCAAAATATATTTAACTTTTTATTATTATAACATATAAGTATTATGACAAGAGAAATAACATAAAATAGGTCACATAATAATTATTATACATAGTCATACTTTTAATAATTTAATAGTAAAAAAAAAACATTTTAGCAATGTTCGTCTATTTGTAGCCTTTTTTGCTAGACTTGGCAGGACCCTCAGATGTATACATTTGCATTTATGTATTGTATGTATTCTAATGTCAGCCATAGAAGCGGTTTACGTGATACCCTTTTTCATAAAATTGTGCAATGAATCTACATCTAAATTGTGTAAAGTCATTGACTTTCGACGATTCAATGTAAGTTCACACATAAAAGAGCAACAATTTACAATTAGTAACAATTCTTTTAGTTATACATACCTATACAAATCATTTTTTTTGCGTAATGGCCATATCTGATAAATATCTGTGACTATAATATTTTCTTCGGCATCCTTATTTACATGTCCGAAATACATATTGGAAAAATATTTTTATTAGCAATATAATGAATGTTTTTCTTGGGTGATTAATATCGTCAGTTACAAAAAGTTATATGACATGTGTATGAAAGTATATATTTTATTTACTCGGTTCATTAATACTTACCATGAATAAAAAAAGTATTGAATAATATGTATTGAAATATAAATTAAACAACAAATAATAAAGAAATCTAGCAGCTAAGGGCCTTAAAGAAGAAAGAAGTACGAATAAATAAAGAGTAATATTAGAACATAATATCTATAACTATGAATTGCTACTACGACTTCTTGTAAGTAGCTTTTATGTCAGACTACAAGAATCTATACTAATAAATGGAGAGCCGATTTTTTAGTTCGGTTATACTGAGATAACTACTGAACCGATCGGAATAATACTCACACCATAAGATACAGCGTGTTTCGGAGAAGGTTTTAGTATATGATATGC